AAGCCAATCAGTGGATTGACTTAGTAATCACCCTTAATCCCAGCATCACACACCTCAGATCCAGTCACTGCTGAACAGCCCGCCCCACCTGTGACTGCATGAGGCTTTGGGGGGACATCTAGATGCAAGCCATAACAAGGTAAGTCTTAGTTACGTAATTATCTAATTGCAATTGGATAGGTTCTACAAAAGGTACAACATGCTAGGAGTACCCTTTGCTTTGTGCCACCTTCTCAGTAGTTCATCAAGTCCCTTCAGGAGATGAGGTAGGAGACCTTGGTGGTCTGCCTGTGGCGGGTGTGTGGAAACAGAAATAGATAGCTGACTGCCTATCGGAGGGGAGAGAAAGTGAGAATTCCCAAGGATGACCTTAAGACTTCTGGCTTAAGTAAACATGCAGACGGCTGTGCTATTCACTGCCCATGATTAACAGGAGGACTGTGATTTTGGTTGGGGCTGTGATGAGTCTGAGATGTGAGTGAAGAAAGCCGGGCAATGTTAAGGAAATGGGTGGCCTGCCCTAGCAAGGGCTGCTGAAAACCCCACACCTATGATGCTATTTTAAGACGTGAATTTAAACTGGGTCTAAATGAGACCTTTCACTATAAAGTCAGACCCACAGTCTAGTACTTGCTGAGTATGTAAAAAGCTCATGCCCTTTTTCCTTTATTTTATTTTTTTTTTTGGTTTTGGTTTTTTGAGACAGGGTCTCACTATGTAGTTCAGACTGGCCTTGAACTCACCAGGTAGCCCAGCCTGGCCTCAAACTCACGGCAGTCCTCCTGCCTCAGCCTCCTCAGTGCTGGGATTACAGGTATGCACCACTGCACTAGCCTCCTTTTTCCTTTTAATCTTGCCAAATGGTCATCTGGTGAGGTTTCTTCTGCCAACCTTTCCCCCTTTACTCTTTGCCCATCCCTAAACTCCACCCTTCTCTGTCATCAAAGTAAACAGTAAATTATAAACTTACAGCTTCATAGATTACAAAGAGCCTTATAATAGTTATACCTTTAATTTCTAGAAATATCATTTATCACATTTAATTTTGGACAAACATGTAAGATACAGTACTCACATTTCATCTAACTTGTTTAAAAAGGTGTTGTTATGGTTTATATCTGGATGTCTCCCAGGAGCCTCACACCTCTCAGGTGAGGCATGAGGTGATGGGTCATGGGAGTGCACAGCTGATTTGTCAGGACCGGGGTCGCTGGGGGCACGGCCCGACAGGGTTTCCCTCCTCCCTGGCTCCTCCCCTCACGCTTTCCTTTGCAAGACACATCTACTCTGTCCCTTCCTGCCACAAAGCTGGCCAACCAGGGACTAAGACGGAGAGCCGAAGCAAAGCTCTTCTCCTTTAAATTGCAGGTGTGGGTGCTGTGTCTTAGGGAGTAGGAAAGCGCTATGGTTTGTCTCTGGATGTCCCCCCAAAGCCTCATGCAGTCATGGGTGCAGGCTTCCAGAGTTTATGACTGATTCATGATCCAACGTTGGGACTGTAAGTGTGAGTGCTACACCCGCTCTTGGGCAGATACTTTGCATACAATGTAAGGGAGGGAAAGAGGCTTGCTCTCCCCGCCTGCTCTCCTCGTGTGCTTTTGCTGTTTTCCACCACCATGAACTGTTGCTCTCTGCCATGTGCCAGTCTGGTTTGGAGCCTGCTGAGTATGGACTGAAACCTCTACAAATTGTGAGCTAAATAAACCTTTCCTTCCTTAATTTTGGGTGTTGGGTATTTTGTCTCAGCAACGAGAGAAAAGTAACTAAAACAGGAAGTAAGGTAGAGTACTGACCGTGTTTTCCTCCTTCCTGAGAATCCGTAGGTGCTACAAGACTCCACGAGAACATGCGGCGCACAGTCACGGATGCCGACACACAGTTACCTCAAAGACTCGAGAGCGGAGTTGAGAGTGGCAGAACTTCAGCTCAGTTTTGCAGTGCTTTCCCTCACTTAATATGAAAGACATGCTGCTGGCCAAGATGGGCTTCTATCCTTTCTGTCCCCTAGTTTCTTAATAAATTGCATACTTTGTTCCCCCAAAAATATGAAAGTTATACACCACGTGTGTAATGCGTGCCTGTAATCCCAGCCACTCAGAAGGCTGAGGTAGGAGGATTCAAAGTTGAGGCCAGCCTGGGTAATTTAATAAGATTATGTTTCAAAATAAAATAAAGAGCTCTGGGGATATAGCTCAGTAGCAGAGAGGCATAGTATCTCTGGTACCACCAAAAAAACCAAAAAAACCAAAAAACCAAAAAACACCAATTCCAGTACAGCAAATAAAACAAAGAGGCCAGGCATGGTGGTGCACACCTATAATCCCTAACCCTTGGAAAGCTGAGGCAGAAGGATCACCATGAGTTTAGGGCTAGCCTGAGCTACACAGCAAGACTCTGTCCTAAAAAACAAACAAAGAAACACACACCCTTAAGATGAAAGGTACATGTCAACTTTGATGTATGTTAGTTCTGGATATTGGGTATGTGATTGTTTGTTGTATTGTTTTGTTTTATACTATTTCAACTTATTTTTTTCATAAAAATCAGAGGCAGCAACAACGTATAGAAATAGTTCAAAAATAATGTTATCTGTCATGTTTATCTTCTATATATGCATCACACACATATATATGGGATTTCTTTTAATTAACCAAGTTCATTGTTCTTGGTACTTAATTTATGTGTGAAACTAATGGCCTTTATTCAAAGCACCACTGTGGCTTCTTAGTGAAACAACACTACAGAAGGCGAAGACTCAGAGTAGGACTTTGCTAAAGGCAAGACAAAGCTTTATACTTTTAGGTAAGAAGAAATTATAGCTTCATACAAATGCACTTACTAATAAATCAAAGAGGAAACTAAGGGCAGTAAATCTATGGCCCAAAAGCAAACTGGTTAAAAGGAATGCTTTTCAGAGATCTTCAAGTACTGCCAGCAAATCCTTTTAAATTTGGAGCATCAACCAAATCGCTGTGTGGTGCTTAACTATCAAATCACAGCCTTCGCATTCATTCTTCAGAGGGAAATTTTTGTGGCTTACACAAAATAACCTCAGAAGCCAGCGTTAAAGAAAATGTCACAGACAGATCAAGGAAGCTGATAATTGTTTTAACAATGAATGTTTTGCAGAGAGAGGCGAAGGCTACCATGGGGATCTCACTATTAATTCATTCAAATGATGAAAGGAAAAAGAGCATACCAAGTGCGGCATTTTGTTCTGAGTGACAAGACTCCTATTCTAGGAACCTGGTTTTGGACATCACTTTGACTTCCTCACAGAACAATTTATACTTTGAAATATTTAATTAATTTAAGGAGAGTATTATAATCTATTCACATTCCTACCTATTTTTCCATTCTTCACTTAGACACTCTTTTCCTTAATACCTTTCTATTAACTTGCTGACATAGCAGCTGATGAATTATTTTTTGTCACTGTTGTCTGCTGACTATTTTAGACAGAAGCTTGTTTAGGCTCCTCTAAGTTGCATAAAGATAAGCACTAGTTGCACTCTACCCAGCATCAAAACAGTACTATCTTCACCAAAGATGAAGCCAGGCATCCATACCATTAACGTCCAGCAAAAAAAACACCTCTGGTTATTGTGGTACTGAGTAACAGTCTGGGAAGATAACTACACTGTGCTCTGTAAAGAATCCAAGTCAAAGCGCTAAGTGCTTCAGGGATTCGATCTTACCAAAAGAAACATGCTATCACTCTCCTGCCCTGTTGTCGGCTCAGGGTGCAAAGGCTTTCCTACGACACAGAAATACCAGTAAGGGTCCAGTGCGACCCATCTCATTTCTCAACTAAAATACAGGGTGCAGCATGGCAAGTGGGGAAAAAGTGAGCTAGAGGTTAAAAATGATCTGGATTTAGCCTCAGACTCTCACTGCATGACTTTGGATAAATTAGTATTACTACTACTATTATGGGTGTTCTGTTTTGCAGCACTGGGGGCTGAACCTAGGGCCTCCAGCCATGCTCCCTTCTCCCCTTTAGAGACAGGGTATCCCTAAGTTGCCAAGTTGAATTAGCCAATACTCTTGCTTCAGCCTCTCAAGTTGCTGGAATTACAGAATAACCAGAGGTGCTATCACACCCAGCTGCATAACTTACTGAAATCTGCAAAATATGAACAAGAATCCACACTGGGACATGTAAACATGCATATGAAAATAACATACCTTAAGTCCCTAGCAGGCATTTACTAAATATTAGTTTCCCTTCCTTAGAGTATCAGGTCATAATAGGGTCTTTCATATTCTTTGGTTCTACCTTTAAAATTCTCAAAAAAAAAAAAAAAATGTATCACAGGGCCTCAGCCTACCACCAATCATTCCTACGTGCATGAAGCCTGGTATCATGTTTGGTCACTCTGGGGCCTCCTGAATTATGTAATCACAGAGTTGATAGTGATTCAAAATATTATCTAGGTTCTAGGCAGAACTCTTCCTAAAGTGAGAGGAAAACTATGTCCAGTTTTATTTCTAAGAATCTCTAAAGCACATTTTTAATCACTACTAGTAACTCATTACATTGGTTCAGATTCCTTACAAATGCCTACTAATGTCTAAACAACACGTCTAGGTTCCAATCCAGCCTCACACTGTCTGTGAAAATGATGAATTACAGGACCATCACACAATATTTCTTAAAATATGGAAACTAACCACGCTTCTTCTATCAGATGAAGTAGTATCACTGCTTATCAAAGCATCTATGTATTAGTTAACACAAACCCACAACACAGCTTAAGAGTAGGAAATGAGTTTTGAGGATGTCTTGTAAACACTTATTGGCTGTGGGGAACCCCTGGAAGTGACTTTGAGCTTCAGTTTACACATCTGCAAAATGTGGGCAATATTATGTTTTTTACATAATTATCCAAAGGATTAAATTAAATTAATGTACACATTCAAAATATAGCCACTGCTGTCATCTTTACAAAATAAAACACAAGTTAAAGACAGACTGTAGAAGAAAAGAAAATACAAACCATGTTCACTGCATCTTGATCAAACGGGTTCCACTCTATGTTCTGAGGGTAGTGGGCCAGAACTTTGGACCTGAATGTTCTTCTCAGAGGGCTCTGGTCAAAATTTTCACCTATAACAAGTAATAAATAATTAGTATCTACAACTTTTTCAAAAGTGTGTCACTGTTTTCTATTTTCTTTTGTATATATATTTACTGATAATGTTGAAGTCTGATTCAAGTTCCACTTCTAATACTAAGTTGTAAAATCCTAAATGGACAACTGAAAAACTCTGAATAAGAGACTGGCACTTAAGAAAAACCTCAGAATCTGAATCTTAAAGCATTACCTATATTACCAATACTAAAACAAATCCAGACACACTAATATAACTATTGCTGTAACACAATTATTGTACTCATTTCTATATAGGGTAATACTTTTATATATAAACAGATAACTCACTAAAGAAACATCTAGATGTAAGCTAAACTATTTTTTACAATTCCGAAGTTTTATACATAGACTCAATGCTGCAGGGCACAGAGGAAGCAATTTTGATTTTTCACATTTTTATATCCAAGTTCTTTAGGAACCAAATTACAAAACCAGAAACATCATTATGGAGTTGTCTAGTGGGCAGAACAACATACCACATTAACCATTTTTAAAAAAAGAGCTAGTGTAAGGCAACTTCACCGGTCAAAATTCTGGAAAGATTAAAAAGTAAACTATTTCATATGAGAAAATTCAAGAACACCTGTCAAATCAGTTCTTTACCTCTCTGACCAAATCAATTCCCATAATACTTGTTATTCCCATCTGTCTTAGTTCATAAAATATTTTAATGTAGATAGATCTTAAAATCCCAACGTCAAAATGTTGGGATCAAGGAATAATAATAACACCTTGGAGTATTTTTATTCTGTCACCTGTGTTTTCTACTTTCTAAATTCTAATTAAGTACAAAACACTAGTTATAGTAGCAAAATATAAATGTTATTTACCAATATCTGCACAACTAAAAATATCATAAAGCAACCTGATTTATGAGTCATTCTTTGATATCTTGTTAGATTCAGTTTCCACTTTGGGAAAAATATGAAAACACATACTGAAACACCTTTGAGTGCAAAACTTAACAGATCACAGAAGGAGGGAAAAGTCACACTCTAAAATCTTGTTGGAGACCACAATATGAAACACAGGACTGTTTCTGAATAAGAGCACATAGTTTAAATATATTTGCTGAGGCAACTAAACTGTTGTTTCTAACTGAAGTCCTTGACTAAGACCATTTTCTCTGGGACGCCACTGACTTGGTTAGGCAAACACCACTTCTCTTTATCTTTCTACTCCAGGCTTCCTGCTTCTAAGAGTGGAAAGCTTTCATTTCCAGGAGAGAAACTGTTAAAGCATTCTTAAGCAGCGTTTAATCAGCTTTTGCGTCATACTCTTAAGTGACAAAACATCCATGGAGAGGCTGGGCCTGGTGGTCTACGTCTATAACCTCAGCGCTCTAAGAGGCTGAGGTAGGAGGGTTGAAAGTACGAGCCCAGACTGAGCAACTCAGTGAGGGACCCTGTCTAAAAATAAAAAACAAAAAGGACTGAAAAGGTAGCTCAGTTTAAAGGCCCTGGGTTCAAGCCCCAGTGCTGGAGGGGTGTAGGGAAGGTCAACGGAAAAATGTGAGACTGTATGAGTCAGTGCAGCGGGAGAAGAGTCAGGGTTCAACACTGTTATTTTAAGTAAATGATACCCTTAAGCTTTTACTAAATTTTCATGTGAACACTAAGAATTTTTAAATTATTTGCTTCTTAGTAAAAATAAAGTTACATTTCATTTCACTTTAAGTTGAAAAAAAAAACCAATGAAAATTCCCTCTTGGTACTAAAAGTGTGTGCTGCTGGCTGTGATGATTTGGCAACAAGCGTGTCTTGAGATAACCGAGAGACATGTGACACCCTCTTCTCCTCTGCCCTCCATGAGAGACCAAATGCTTGTTTTACATCCACTACTAAAAGTAAAGCAGGCATCAGTGCAGGAGCAGAACACACAGCACATAACCCAGGATAGGACTCCCTGCACCACTTACCTGCTCAAGAATTCCGGGCTGTGTTTGGTTAAAAGAGTAACAGTATCTTCATTTACGTATTAGCTATTATTGGGGCAGGGATAAATCAAAGAAGCCACAAGGGCCATTCTCAGTATGATTGTTTTGTTGCCTAAGGAATGCTATACCTTCCTGAGGCATAATAAATTAAAGGGAGAGAAACAAAATCACCTTCAGAGAGAGAATTTCACAAAGACACAAAACCCATAGGATACCAACACAAAATCTAACAGAAGAAAAATACCACCACCACCACCACCACCTCTTACATTGTTAAAAAGGGAGCAACAGGAAAGCTGGTTGTTACACAGACAGCTGTCTTGGCAAATATTTTGGAGGAAATGAGAGAAAGAACCAATTGTGCAGAAGCGCAGACATCACTGTTAAGGATTTAAAATGGGTAGATGCAGCTTTCCTACCAGGGTCAGCCGAAGAAGAGGGCCTCGGAAGTGCCCTGGGGCTCTGGAGCGGAATGAATTCTGCACTTTGGATTCCGAATGCATTCTTTAAAAATCTCTTAGAACTTCCTGCCCAGTCTGAACAGGAAAAATGACTAGGTTTGAGAATTCAGATTCCCAGGAAACAGAAATTGTACATACACATCCTTAAGTTAAAATTTGCCTTTTAAATATTATCCTGAAAAATTATAAATTGATACAGCCTTCTGAGGCCGTGGGTTTGACTGTCAGCACTCCCCCCACCAAAAAGCTCCCGACATTCAATTACTAATGTCCTTGCCATAATTACATATAAAGTCAATTCCAAATAATATTCCCTAGTTAATTACTAAATTTAAGCTGTAACTAAACCTTTCGCCTAACAACGTAGGAAATATATGCCAAGAGAGCTTAAAGGCTAGTGAGCACACTCTTTGCAAGGCCTGAAGCAAATGTGGTCTTCATGAAAATTAAGATACAGATGAGAGAACAGAATACAAACTAGTACCTATGTTTGTCCAAGCAAACCGAGTAAGAAGGCATTTGCACTAGGTTTGGGGTGAATTAAAATAATAATTTCTAACACCTCATCTGGTGTTTTTAGTTTATTTTTACCTGAAGTCGAATTGGCAGCATCTTGGCTCTTGCCATGACGATCTGCTTCTAGCCATTGGTACAAAACTACATAATGTAACAGAAACAAAAAGCTTGATGAACAAAGAACGAACAAAAAGGCAAAAATGACTTTGAAGAATGGAAAATAAAAGTAAAAAATTAACAAAAGCAATTAAACATCGGACATTAACACCAGTGGAATGCAGCTTCTGCATTATTAGTAACAAGAAAGATAAGAGAACAGACAATTTTAATGTAATACATGAAATGTCATTTAAACATGTGTTATGGTTATTTGGGGAAAGCACACACATCCTCTTCTTAAGGCTAATTTCAAGAGAAACAGCAAGCGAACGCCAGTGTTTCCGCAGCAGGAGTTAATAAAGTATGATAGTAAGACTAAATGACCAACTTTAGACATTGCACCTCACCCACTGTACCAAAAAACCAACTATACTAAATGCTAACAAGGGTGTGAGGTGACAGGAACTCTCCTTCCTTGACGGGAATGCAGAATGGCACAGCCACCCCAGAAGGCACTGTGGCAATTTCTTGTAAGGTTAAACAGTCTTTTTTTGTGTGTGTGTGTCTTTTTGAGACAGAGTCTCACTATGCAGTTCAGGCTGGTCTTGAACTCACTCTGTAGCCCAGCCTGGCCTCAAACTTATAACGATCCTCCTGCTTCAGCTTCCTGAGTGCTGGGATTACAGGCATGTGCCACCATACCCACCAAACAAATTTACCTTCCTACTTTTTTTTTTGGTACCGGAAATCGAATTCAGGACCTTGCACTTGCCAGGCAGGCACTTGTGCTGCTAAGCTGTATCTCTGGCCCTATACAGTCTTAACATACAAACCCCAAACACCAGTATAAGTAAAAGATCAAATTCCAAGCGGTGCCACCAGTAATATACCTAACAGTCCTCATGAAAATTAGCAAGGACAACAGAAGTCTGAGAAACTGTCAGAGGCAAGAGGAGCCTGGGGAAACATGACAACTGAGTGGGATGGAATATACTGGAATATATTCTAAGAGAAAAAAGGCACTAGGTAAAAACTAAGCAACACTGAGGAGGGTGTAGACTTTAGTTAGCAGTAATGCATCAATACTGATTCATTAGCTTTGACAAATGTACCAGGCTACTACAGATGTTAACAGTGGGGGAAATTGTATGGACTGGGGTATTTGGGGGTTCTGTATGATCATACATCTAAAATTGCTCTAGAAACCAAGTATGCATATGTATGTGTGTATGTATTTTTGTTTTTTTTCAGACAAGAGTCTCACTATGTAGTCCAGATTGGCCTTGAACTCACTATGTAGCCCAGGCTGGCCTCAAACTTGTGGCGATCCTCCTGCTTTAACCTCCCAAGTGCTGGGGTTCTAGGCATATGCCACCACACCCACCTCAAAACCAGGTGTATTTTAAAATTACATTCCAAAACCAGATGAGGTAGCATACTTGTAGTTCCAGCTACTTGGGAACCTGAGGTAGGACGATCACTTGAACCAAAGAGTCACGATCACCCTAGATGAGACAGCAAGAACCCCAAATTTATATTCCAATATTTAAGGTAAAGACACAGGCATATATTATGTACAATCTTATAAGTAATTTACCTTTTGTGAGTCACTCTATGCAAATGTAAGCTAAAATGTATTCTTTACTATGGCCCCAATTAATAAACTATTTTCTTATGCTCTCTTAGCTATGAAATGCCAACTCCTGGAGCGAAGTTTACTACTCTATCATATGGGCTAGCAATAAACTCACATTAGAGCTCTGTAACTCAGCAACTCTGAAGAGTGGTAGTTAAAACTGGGTGCCTTTTATGGGCTACCCAGATGTCCACAGCTTCCAGATATCCCTAGAGATGCTGGAGTCCTTTCCTTAAAGAGTCAAAAGCCAGGAATGGTAGCACATGCCTGTAATCTCAACACTCAGGAGGCTGAGGCAGGAGAATCACTATGAGTTCGAGACCAGCTGGGGCTACATAGTGAGTTCAAGTTTAGCCTGAGCTATACTGAGACACCCTGTCTCAAAAAAGCCCAAAATGATGATAATGATGATGGTGATAATAATAATAATAATAATAGTAATGATAATAATAATAATAATAAATACTCAAGTAGTGGTAATACTAATGGTCAGGGAACTTTCCCCTCCATGTCTGAGCTTTGAATAACTCCAGGACAGTAACAAAGGCAAAGCTATTTTAGGGTACCATCTACCTACAGAAAAACAGGGTTCTGTATTCCAAAAAGCTTTGTCGAAACCTACAAAAACAGCAACTAAAACAAAGAGCTCAGAAAGTTGCCTATAGGACTTTTGAACTGAAGGAATAAAGGAATGACTCATTACAAATACCTTCCGGCCCCCACATACACCGTACCTACATTTCCTCACCAACATCTGGATTCTCTTCTTCCCACACTTTGCTTCTGGGGTTGGAAGCAAAGGATTATTCTTTACACTGCGATGTGAGTGGCTGTGTCACACCCAGGTTTAGGGTACTATCTGTGTTTCTTCTGGCATCCATCAGCTTAAACACAAGTGCAAACAAGGCCTTGAAAAGGAAGTCAGGTCACTGAATGGCTTTACAAAGTACAGCCCCTGTACCCTTCTCCCACATTAAGCTAAATGTGAGGGAGAAATAAACTTTCACTGTCTCAAGACAGTGAGAGTTTGGCATTGTTACAGCACTGATAGTAGCTGGCTGAGAATGCACTTCTGTGTGTGTTAGCCAGAGTTTGTGTGTCTGACCTTAGTGTAATACTAATCCCTGACTACATTTTGTGCCATCTCTTCCTTGGTGATTCTCCACCTCATGTGCTACTATGTTCAAATACAATACACAGTGGATATAGTTCTTCAAATATAAACAGAATTTGCCTGTTTTTTTTACCTTTCAAAGAAGCCATACACCCACTACTAAGCTAAGACCAGGTGTTCTAGCCCACAATGAGGTGGTAGCCTTTCTAAACCCACAACCTCCAAGCCAGGGACTGTGCATGTCTGGGATGCTCAGCATCAAGCAAAACAACCTAGATGGAGTTCTGCAAATCCACTGACCCTACTGAGGAATACTGGACAAGAAAGCCAGCATCATCAAAGATTATATCAAGAACACATTAACATCAACCCAGTAAGTTCCAGATTAAGAGACCCATAGTATCTTTCCTTTTCATTACATCAAAATTAAACAGCCATAACATAGTTAGCTTTACACTAAATACACGTCAATTACTGAATTTATTCACACAGTTACAGTGCTCTGCTTCAACCCCAATGCAGTGTCTACAACTCAATTCTCTCACTAATCAGAGTTAGCGCAGACTCCACAAGTGTAAGAGGACGCTCTCCAATAAGACCGCACTTCAGACCCCACCACGTTCTTGGGGTGCCCATGTGATCTGCACTTCTGATAGGCTGGCTATTGATAGGAAGTTCTCAGAAGGCCTTCAGGTTTGATAATTCACCAGACAATTCACAGAGCTCAGAGAGAAGTGGCACACTGATGATTACAATTTTATTACACAGGATACAAATCCTAAGAACCAAATGAAGAGACACACAAGGTGAGGCCTTGGCGGGAAAGCAGGGGTTGCACATCTTCTCCCTGAAAATTGAGGCATACCATCTACACACACACACACACACACACACACACACACACACACACACGGACCCCTATGTATCAACCTATCAGGAAGCATAGTAAGCTTCAGGGTCCGGAGATTTTACTGGTGCTCTATCACATAGGTCTGGCTGACTAAATCATTGGCCGCAGGACTGAACTCAATTTCCAATCTCCACCATTCCCCAGGAGTCAGGCTGGTTCAAAGCCCGTTTGCTCACGTTAGGTCCTCGGGCAACTCCCATCCTGAAGCTCTGATCCTGAAGATACCAAAGGACCCATCATTAGTCATCTTACTGGTATAACCTTCCTATCACTCAGGGAAAGCCACAGATTTTAAGAATTCAGGGCCAAGAACCCAGATCAAAGTGTAGACAGAGTCTTCATTACACAGCCCAGTACCAGGCACCGTGCGGCCTTCCACAAAGCATAGAACACAGCAGCATATTTACTTATAGAAACCTTAGCAATGAATCTAGGATCTAGCGTTCTCTAATAAAAAGAAATAAAGAAAGTTTTCACTCCTAATCTTGGTTTTAGCATAGTATTCTTTTCACACTAAAAATATGAAACAAGAAAAAAAAAACATTTAAAATTCACTGAAACTAGACACGGTGGTGCCCGCCTGTAATCCCAGCACTCTGGGAGGTGCAGGAGGAGGATCCCAAGTTCAAGCCCAGCCTGGAGAACTTAGCAAGATCCTGTCCCAAAATAAAAAAGGAATGGAGATGTAGCTTAGGGTGAAGGTCCTGGGTTCAATCCCCAGTACTAAAAATGAATGCATAGAAAAAAAGGAAGAGAGAATTAAATTTAGGAGGAGAGGAAGCAAAAATGGTTAAGGTGCAACCTGTATATGTACCAATTCTCCAAGATTATTGTAATTCTCATGTATTAAAACCATGTACCAATAAAAATATATAATAAAGTCACTGAACTCATAACTCATTTGAAAGAGTAACTTTAAGGTTAATACGAACCATGTGTTTGACAGTAGTAACTGAGTTTTACTAATATGAAAATGGTTTTCAAATAACTACAGCCAAGAAAGCAACGCTGTAGTTCTGGATGAATATGCTAATCTCACAGCCTGTGGCAAACCACAATTTTTCAGCCAAGGTTTCCTCATGTATAAAATATAGATGATTTTATTACTTTGATATTATTATTATTATATTTTGTCTTTTTGAGGCAGGGTCTCACTATGCAGATCAGGCTGGCCTTGAACTCACTTGGTAACCCAGGATGGCCTCAAACTCACAAGGATCCTCTTGCCTGGGACTACAGGCATCCATGCCTGCCACTAATACAGTTATTACTAGATGGCTGCTTGCTATGAGAATCACTTATCTAATATATTTCTGGGAAACTGCAGTAATATTAGCACTTCTTTTCTATTTTATTACACAATATAAGACAAATCTTTCCCT